GAAAGAATAAACCAGTTTTATTTAAGAAAGGACTTGTGTCGCTAAAGTTTCGTCGGAACGAATTTACGGAAAATTAACTAACGACTGGAGGCGTAACAATATGATCTAGTTAATGCTTAACTGCCTGATCTTATATCAAGAAAATTAGCATTAATATCATCTCTACAAACTAATTAAACATAAACAATTTACACTTTCTGGATTGATTTGGAAACATATATAGATTCAAGTTCTTTAACAAAGTTCAAAATTAAAAAATAACATTGAAAACAATTCCGTGCCTTTTGTTTTTAAATACAAAATAAGATCAGAAATATTACCTGCGTCTCTCATCAACACGTACACTTTTATCCTAAACCCAACAATTTACGAGACTTTTACTTTAAAGTCCCTCAAAAAATACACAAGATCACTATTGTCTTTAGGGTCTCAAGTGTTAGTGTAACACCAGTTTTGTCACCTAATTTTAAGAACAAGATACGCTTTTTTTTAAATCAATATTATATCTCGTTTTTCGTTTGGTTATTATGTCGAAATCTCATTCAGTATTTCTTGTATTTTCAAATAATACCCTAATCTGTCTTATAACCGTTCACTTTTTATTTTCTATCAATTTGAAAATAACTATTAAATTAAGAAAAATAACAAGTAATAGTTCTAATTATTGATATGGAGAGGCCTATATGGATAGGCGACAGTCCAACTACCAAAAGAAACTTTTACATGACAAGTTTATACTGAGGCAACGTGTGTTGAGTAAGGAAAATTCAATCAGTTTTTACGGTACATTTGTTAGTGAACATAGAATTGTAAGGGCAGTTTTTATTTTTATGTAACGAATTTCAGAATAACTTCGTATACCATTTAATGGAATGAACAGTACTCTTAAGGTGCTTCTGTGTTAGAAACGACACACAATGAAACGTTTCAGTGAGAGATGTTTGAAGTGTATTTGATATTTCCAACCTTATGCGACAAATGGACTAAACGGCCAAGTCAGAAACCCCAAGATTTAGACATAGCTATCCTTTGTTTTGAACTATTGACCAGAGAGGACAATCAATCAGCAATACCCACCGCCTACATGACTACTCTTAAACGAAAACCGGGATTGACTGCCACGTCATAATGCCTCATACCTAAACATGCGGAGCGTGCTCAATGACATTTTGTGGCTAGAACTCTATACTTCCGATTTGCATCCCAGCACGTAAATCATTAGGTCACGCCCGGCCCTCAATTAAAAATACGTTATAATTTTATGGAAAAACAAACAAACAACCAATATGTAGGGAAAATGTTATAAATACCCTTAACTGTAGTTTAAAATATTTTACATTATTTATAAAATCCTTTCGAATTCCTTAAACACAACATTGAGAAAAAAAAAGTTTCCATGGTTTTACTTTTGCTTACGCCATCTCTGTTCATATAATAAGCAAACATTTCGCAAGATATTCATGTCAAGAAGAGAATTCTTGAAAATGAAAAATAGAATGCATTAAACTATTATGTATACCAGAAAAACAGCCTGTTAATCTTTAAATCCAGCAAATGTAAATTGTTTATTTTCGACAAGTACTATCTAGAAATTGAACTTACTGTCGTTTTATCATCTAGCTGCAAACTTGAAGCAAATTTATTGAATGTGTATAGGGATCAAATTATCGTTAACTCTTCTCGTAACATATGTTTCTAAACATGAGACATGACTTCGCAACTTGGATGATTTCTGAAAAAACCAACAAACGTAACTTCAAAGTTTTTATCTTGTGCGTGAACTCCAAGCTAATGTGAATATTCTGTACTAACATTTGAGTAATATAGTCGGTATTTATCATATATTCTACACATTTCACAAAATATAGCTAGCACTAGGTGGCTTCTCGACATTATACTTTTCACATTCGTTTTATGAAATGGTCCTGTTAAACAGGGAGAGAGTCAAAGGTTAAGCAGCTAATAATTCTCTTCACAATACTTAAAACTTCCATGCAGGTGACTTCTCACCTCCATACTCTGTGCACTCGTTTGACGAAATGATTCCGTTGATCGAGGAGGTTCGGGGAGTCATATGCGATACCATCACGGGCATGTTCGCCCTCGAGATGCCCATCTGCGCTTGTGGTATGGGTGGCGGGAAATAGTCCATACTAATGTTTCCATAGTAATACGTTGTTCCATAACCCTGAGAGCAACAATTACTGGTATTGTTAATGTTTTTCATTTGGTAGGACGTTCTCTGCATACAGCTGTTGTTGGACATCAGATCAGACATCGTAGTAATTGCCGGACTCCATATCGCGCTAGTGCCATTATACGTCACAGAAGGTGAGGAGGGCGATGGTACAGGAGGTAAAGGGGCAGGCTTGTATTCTAATTTAAAAGGAATGTTATTTGGCAAAGCTGTGGTTGAATGAGCAACTTTATTTATTTTAGAGCGCGAGCTTTTTACCGACGATCCGTCGTTTTGTTGTTGCTGTTGGCGGCACTTGGCTCGACGGTTTTTAAACCACACCTAGGAAACAGAATAATTACACATACGTCATTTGTTTCTGTTTATTAAAGTTCACAGAAATGTGACGTTTGTACAGGAATATTCGTGCATGGAAAGTGACTGAAGAAAACTGTTACCACCTGCGAGTATGTAATCTGATTAAATGTTGTTTTTATAAATCAGAGAATAAAATAGAGCTATATGTTACACTACAGGTAGGTAGATATGCCCATTTTAACATGTAAGGAAAAGTGTTCTCAAATAAAGCTTGGGTGATTTGTTTCATTAAAAGATAAAGTAAACCAAAGCTAATAATGTCAAACCTAGAATAAACAAGTAAAACTAGTGTATAAAGTAGAGATTGGAAATACGATTCTTGAAATAATGGATATACAATGTGTACGAATTTTATTATCTATTCAAACAATCTTAACAACTCTAGATTTTTACTTGGTTGAGTCAAACTATTAAAGGTCTTACCGGTATTCTAGAATTTAACAATTTTTCAATGATTCTACCAATAAATATGCAGGTTAAACAGATCTTAACTACACTCTGGAGTCTAACAGTTTCAACACTTTGGTAGTTTCCACATCATCTTATTTACTCTTGGATCGTTGCAAACTGAAAAGTTCATTACTTTCTTACCTGTATCGTGATCGTTGATTAGTTGAACACTTTTAGAAGGCCTCATCCTCAGGATTAGACTATGACCGTTGTTTTTCACCGGACCTTAACCTCATCTTGGGTCCAGACTGATTCTACCACAAAGCCTTATTAAATTCACTTAGTGCCCACGTTACTTATTCCACAAGACCCTAATTTCACCTTGGGACCGGATGGATTCTCCCACAAGGCCCTAACTTCACCTTGGACCCAGACTAGTTCTCTAACAAGGTCCTAACTCTACCTTGGACCCAGACTAATTCTCCCACAATATCTTGCCTTTACTTTCACCTCTGAGTTCTTAGACGTGTTCTTGGTTCTAGAAAATTACGCAATTAAAAAAAAATCTTACCAATACTTTGGTCTCTCGCAAACTGAAAAATCTTACCTGCACTCTTGACTCTGGTAGATTGATTTTCAACGCTACCTCTTCACGCATGAAAATATCAGGATAACGGGTTTTACTAAACAAAGATTCCAAAATGTCTAACTGGAATTGTGTAAATGTTGTTCTTTCTCGTCGTTGTTTTCGCAACTTGGCTCCAGGAGGCGCTGGAGAGGACGAGAGGGGAGCTGGTATGTATATGATACAAATTATTAGTTCGGTTATATCATTTCCGTGTTATTTATACCAACTTTACAGTGACACATACAAAAAAAAGTAGTGCTATTACCAGGATTATGTGATGTTTGCACTGCAAACTTAATCTAAGTCTAGAAATATCATGTATAAAATAACTATGATCTTTATAAATTTTTACATGTTGTTTTATTATAGACAATGCCATTAGAACAAATAATGCTTATTGCGTAAACTGATCATTTCCTTTGTTTTCCTAAAGATTATTCTTTAGTGTTCAGAATGTATTTTTTACTTATGTCACTTAGATAATGATATGATATAAACCCTATAACCCAAGCGTTTTCGAAAGCTGAACCTTACTTCTTCGGAGGAAAACTGAAAAAGAAATATCTACCTTTCGAAAGCGATCGGGTTATAGGGTTTTTATAACTTTAACTTAAGTCTTCTTGAACCTACGTGTTTTTCTGGCATCATGAACTTATATAATGAAAACCGCAAAGTTACAATCACGAATACAGATTGAAGAACAACAACAATAAAAATGAATAAAAACGTATTTGTTTCACCTAAATCTTAAATTATGTATCTAAACTTGATGTAGGATTAATCGATTTAGAGTATTTTTCTATTTCAGTTGGTTCATCTGATGTACGTGTACTTATGTGAAATTATTAATGAATAAGTGCATTTTTTGATTACAAGAAGAGGTCAAAATGTAAAACAACTTAGAATAACTGAAAGTTTTCTAATGTTTCAAGAAAAGCTTTGTCTGTAGAAAAGGAATTTGACGGGTTTACGGTATAGTTCACGACCATTGACTTCACGTATCAAGCACAAAAAAATTCCATAGTAAGAAAGTTTTTAAAAAAAGCAAATGTGAAATTTTAGTTTCAAAAGTGTACCAAAACTTGAAGGATTATGCCGCTGACTTCCCAGTGAATGCTAAGTCAAGTACCAATATTCTATCAATAATAATTGTTATTAATCGATTGGCAGCGCATATATATATATACATACATTGAGTGGTCACAAGTAAATAGACACCTAATTTTTCGTCAGTTAACTGATTTATGCTAACTAATTTGTGTTTACAGAGCACTATATAAATGAAAATGGTCCGCACACTAATTATCTTGTGCAACAACATGCCTAGAACTCAAGGTTTTCTCGAATTGTCAGATTTTGGTCAAGCAGATGGTGGAATAAGTCAGCGGCAAATTTCGCAGAATTTGGGAATCCCGCTTTCGACAGTCAACAGAATCATCGTGCTGTTCAGGAAACACGGCAAGGAAACAACTGAACA